TAATTAACCTGTCCGTAATTCAAAACACCAGCAGATGGGCTGAGCTCAATGTTTCCATAGGGAGTTAGATGGCCTTGTGAAAACTCATCTCCTTTGGAACACTTCATGGTGTACATGTAATCAGTTGGAACTACTCCAAATTCAAGTTCATCCCAGTTCACATCAGCATACTTTCCATGATCTGCATCATGACTGCACATTTTCATAGAGAAAGAAAGAATTAATATCTAACGAATAAGAGATAATTAACACTAAGAACCAGTTAATTACCTTCGGATAGAATCAGAAGTTGTTTGCAAACCAGGAGAAGGCATAGCTGCAAACTTTAGTCTGGAAATCAATGCAGAACAACGTCTGAAACTAGACAAATGATCTTTGTATTAATAATTTTTTGGTCTTCTTGGTAGTTGGTATTAATAATTATATGTAGTGCCCTAGGAATCTCATGTGAGCAAGTTGATATCACAATGAACAAGATATAAATTATAGCTGACACCCTAGTTTTTATAATTGTTTGACCAATCAATGTACCCCTAAAATATTAAAAAAGAAAAAGAAAAAGAAATTGGAAGAAGAAGAAGAAGAAACCAAATATATATATGATAGAACATCATTATGCTACAAAAGAAAAGGAATCAGAAATATAGAAATTAATAATTAAATGTAGATTCAGAAGAAAATGAACAAACATTGTGAGATAGAGAGTGAGAGATTGTATGATACGTACGAACTGGAGACTGCTGACAAAAAAACTGGGGAGGAGATAATGCAAGCAGGTTATGAATGCTTTTCTTATATATCTTATAAACCCTACTGTATGTGTGTTTTATTTTTGTTTTAATTACAGCTATGAAAATGATAATTTCAAATACACTAATAAATAAGTAATTAGCTGTAATTATTAATTATGAAACACTAATAATCTATCAATTTTGGCTAGGAGACTGTCCCCTCCTGTTTTGTTTTTTCCCTTTTTTGGACATTTAGAATTAAGTAACTCATGTAACCCTTTTTCTTTCCAAAATCCTGTATCCTCTTTTCTTATAGATTAGGTCTTTTGAGAAAGCCTAGAAGTCAAAAACTGACCTTATTTCGGGTTTTTTT